GTATTAAATCATTTTTTGTTTCTTTTTAATAGACTAATTATATTTTATCTGCAGGAAATATTGTTTGTTGCTCCTGAGATAGTTATTCAGTCCTCAGCTTATGACTATGTTCACGGTCACCACCGCGGTGGACATCACCATGGACTCGACATGGAACAACGAGTTCTAGCTTTGAACATGACTCTAGCATCCATAGCCGTTAAAAGGGGGTATACAAATCATATCGGTGTTAATTTTATTTGATATTGTTTAGTTTCAGTTCCTTTGCGAACAAAACTTGTTCGTTATGCTTATTTGATTTGGACATACTCTCATGTCGAGTTCCATCTAACATAATCTGGAGCGATGCTCGACCTCATCTTTGGTTTTCAAGTTTATCTGTATTTTGACATGTTATAGCTTTCAGATTTTGTAGGCTCTATTAAGATGCTTATGATGTTGACTTGTTAATGTAACACCATCTTTGAAAGCTTTGGACCCAATAACGAAACTGTGTCTACTTCCCAAGTAGATTCCTTAAATTAAGGCCTACCTTAATCCGCAAAGCCATGACCCTGTCAGGTTCCTCAAAACTCTGCCATTTTATGCTTCTCCTTGTCTGCAAATATTAAGTATCTGACATGGTTACTTCTGCTTATAGGCTTCAAATTATGAGTTGACACATAATCCTTGGAGACGTATCTTAGCTTCTCTTTTCTTTCAACAAAGTATTTAAGAACTACAAATTGACAGTTCATTATAAAGTTGCCTTTCAGCATGCTAGTAGATATTTCAAATAAAATATAAAGAGCCTTTTGTGCCTGTTGAACTCGAGCATACCTGTTTCTGTAGACCCTTGAATGTGCAACATTCTGTGAATTCTTTTTATGGGTTTTCAGAAAGTGGTTGTTGAGTGCATAACACGCCACATTGCAATCAGATTTTTTTTCAAATTGAGGTCTCCATGCCTCCAGACATGTTAATTAGGTAAGACTGTCAATTTCACTTATAGTATTCCCCTTTTCTTTTTTAAGATCAGTAGTTTGTTGCAAAATGAATTTTTATTTTGGTGATAAAAAAACCAGCAAGGCCGTAAACGTTGCAGAAGAGGCAGAAAAAATATTTCAGAATCAGTACCTAACAGCGTATACATCTCCATTCAGCTACAACTCGGGCATCAAATACCAGAGTTCCAACAGCTGCAAGACCCCAGTCAAGACGGTAGCTGATAAGTCCTTTCATATTTGCACATGTATATGTGCCATTCTCTTTTTTCATTGAAATTATGTATTAGGCAGATCATTATGACTTGGAAGAACTATGAATTTTGTATATCGTGTTACTTAACTTTTCGATTGTATAAATGAACACAATTTTTGTAGCAACTCAAGCTCCCTTCAAATCGTTTGAGGGTTTGTTTAGCATGGCTTTTGAGAAGGACCCATTTGGTTAAATTTTGTAAAAGTACTTCTTTTAGTTAAAAAGTTTTTAATGGATGTTTGATTTTATGTGGCTTCCTCTAAAAGTTCTTTTTAGAAGAGAGAGCTCTTTTATAAATTAGTTTTCATACACTAATTAAGGTAACTTTTTCAAATAGTTCTTCTACAGGAAGTAAAAGTTAAAACTTTGTTAAATGGCCCTAACAATGAGACTTAGTTTGTTGTTAAATTCGTAAACATGAGCTTCTACACTGATCAGGCTCGTATCAAGGGTTTTTCAAAGGATCAGCAATCGAAGGCTAATTTCAAATTCAACATGAAATCCAATGCCCAATGAGGTAAAATCCGGACATTATGTCAGATTTCATTAGTTATGTTCTCACTGTGTACCAGATGACATTGTTTTGTAACATAATGTTGGATATATTACATTGCAATGTCTCACACATCATCCCATAAAGGTTTTTCCATGGCAGAATCCCTATGTGAGAGCTGTTGAAAAGGGTTACCTACTTGCATTCTCTGTTGGTTTATTGCCTCCAATTCCAATCTCTGTTCATGCATATTCTGTGGCCTCGACCCGCCAACGCCTAAGAAATCCACGGTCATCATATCGTTGCCCCCTAACCTCGATGGGCCGGAGGAATTCCTCCCCATGACATTTCTTCCCCCGACAAGCCCGGAATTCTCACTGTTCTCTTGTTCCATAGCATTCTTTAAGAACCCGGAATTTAGTTCGTTATTCATCAACATTCCACCATACATCATCATGTCACTCATGGCTGAGCCACCAGTCTTGGAGGAGTCGAATATGTCAGACACCTCTTGTGAGCTCTTGTGCATAAGCTGGCTCGAATATCCTCCTCCTCCGTTGATTCCTGCGAAAGCTGATTGTTCGTTTTGCATTTGGAAGTTATCGAACGAGTTGCCTTGATGCAAATTGGACGAAGGCCTTGTCCCAGAAACCTGATCAGGACCTGCCACACTATTAACAAAGCTCTTTTGCATCATTGGAGAATTGATACTGTTGCTTGCAGTTGCACCCATTTGGGCTGCCTTTTGCAACAAGGCCGTGGCCGACATGTGGGCCGAGCCTGAAATCTGACCCAACCCGCTTTTGCTGTCTTGGTGGTAGTTATAACCTGAGGGACTAGAATTCGAGCTGAGCTGAAGGCCCGACGATGAAGAATGAATGCTTCTTGGGCTACCGAAGAGGGACCC